GGAATAACGCAGAATTTGAAGCCACTGGGGGATGTTACAGGGAGATAAACATCCGTTCCTAGCTCTTTTGCCAAACTGCCTGTGAGATGTAAACAAAGTTGGCGTGTGTTTGAGCTGTAGCTGTGTGAATGCATCTCCACAGGAAAGAAGGCTCGTTTAGGATCTCTTGAAACAAGAAACACCTGTTAGAAAATCAGTGCATGCGGAGAAAATAACATCCAAATATTCACATGCTGATGAGGCATCATACGCACTTACATCAAAAGATTGGGTCAACTGTCTGCGCTGGGAGAAATCTTTGCAAACTGGCCAGAATTCACACTCTGCCTGATGCCCTGGAATGTGGACCTGGAGGAGTTCCAGGAGCAGGACAGCCCGCTTGGAATGTGCAGTATCGGCCTGCCCCTGCACTGCCTTCATCTTCAGAGCTAATGCAGACTATTGGTATTAAAAAGCATTCTGTTGATGGCTCTTAAGCATCCTTCTTGTGCTGAGAAGTACAGCTGCACTAGGAAAGGGTTTTTGCTCTGGTCACAAATGTTTTTGGTTTAAGCTCTGCTTTTGCTTACAGCAGAGAGTCCACCTTCTTGCAGTAACCGCAGGGCAGTGGGGTGATAGTCATCTGTCGTTTATTCCAGTGCTGACTGTGTTCTGCTAAATTGGACTTTTAAATAAAACGCACTGGTTAACTGCAAAACACCAACCACGATGTTATGAACCACCAGCTTGTCCAGGTGATCAGTTAAATCACTCTGAAACCTGCTGTCTCTGCCTATGGCAACACATTGAGGGGAGCCTGCTTACCCTGTGGATGCAGAGGGCTTTCATGGAAGTGTATTTACACTACACGAAGGAAGCTATGTAGAGGTGGCTTTTTAGCCTTCCCTGTGGTCTTAATTGCTCTGGTGGCCTGTTGAAGACGCTCACTCATTCTTCCTATAGCCAAAGACTCCTACCATCCCCAGTTCTAATCCAGCGCGCTCTCTTCCAGATTTGATGGCCGAGTGGTGGCAAAGCTTCCGTTTATCCCCCTCTCGTACATCCAAGGTCTCTCCCACCGCAACCTTCTGGGTGAGGATTACACTGACTGCTCCTTCATCTTCCTCTACATTCTCTGCACGATGTCCATCAGACAGGTGAGTATGTCGCTCTGTCTCCTGCTCCAGGCATGCAGGGAAAGCTCAGCTCCATTTTTAAAGAAGAGTATTACTGCTGTCTGGTTTGGCATGTATCACTTCTGATCTGTTTGTGGTTTCTGTGTTTGCCTCCATTCCAGTGCTGTATATTTAAAGCAATTCTAGGTTGGGATCATAAAAACAGCCACTGTCCTGGATCAGTTATGGAAGTCTTGACTGGAGACTTGCACCAGGGCAAGGGGAAACTTCTTGGTGGCTTGAGGTTCTCTAAAGGTTCATTCAGTCCAGAAAACTGCTAGAAAAGGGAGAAAAGAGTTAAACCTGTTCTGTTGGGTTTGTCCTTCCTGGTTTTTTGCTGACTGCTTGTTTTTTCTTTATTTTTTTCAGAATCTTAAGCACTTTAACTTTGTCAAATCTCGCCTGGTGTTAGGGATGTGACACAAAGGAGGGCTGGGATGATATGCCAAGAGTAGGCTACACGTAGCTCTCCTGCAAAACTGGTTAGTCACATCTTATCCTCACCAAGGCTTTTCCATTGAAAAGGGAAGTGCCTGTTCAGGCAGGTTCACTAGCAGCTTAACTGACAGAATGGCTGGTGAGGATGAGTGAGCCTTCTCTGTGCAACTAGAAGTCTACTTTACTTTCCAAATTTCCCCAGGGAGTGCTGGGAATGTTAGTCGACTCTAGGGGCTGGATGAATGCTGGTGCAACTAGCTGTGAATTATCAGCTCTTCTGCATTTATATTTCTTTTTTCTTTGATCTGCTTCCTGAGTTCTTGCTGCTTTTCTCCTTGACCGACTTGTTGCTTTTCCTCAGGCGGTGCTGAGGGACTTAAAAAGACTTAAAGCAGATCAGCAAAGGGAAATGGTGTGTTATGCCAGCTGCTGTCAGAAGTTTGGATGAGCTTGATGGGACAGCTTAAGAGTTCCCTCAGTCACACAGTGAATCAAAATCTCCGTAGCCCTCTGTGTTGGGAGCTTGCACTGGAGTAGATCCATGTCTGGTCCTAGGGAAGCATAGCCAGCAGGGTGAGGGAGAGGATTCTCCCCCTCAGCTCTCGTGAGACCCCACCTGTAGTTCTGCATCCAGCTCTGGGGCCCCCAGCATAATAAGGTTATCACCTGGTTGGAGTGATTCCAGAGGAGGCCACGAAGATTCTCAGAGGGCTGGAGCCCCTCTGCTCTGGGGACAGGCTGGGAGAGTTGGGCTTGTTCAGCCTGGAGAAGAGAAGGCTCCGGGGAGACCTTATAGCACCTTCCAGTACCTGTGCACAAGAAAGCTGGGGGGGACTTTTTTACAAGGGCAGGGAGTGACAGGACATGGGGTAACAGGTTTAAACTGAAAGAGGGAGATTTAGATTGGACATCAGGAAGAAATTCTTCCCAGAGAGGGTGGGGAGGCACTGGGACAGGTTGCCCAGAGAAGCTGTGGATGCCCCATCCCTGGAAGTGTCCATGCCAGGCTGGATGAGGCTTGGAGCAACCTGGTCTAGTGGAGGGTGTCCATCCCCATGGCTGGGGGTGGGACTGGATGGGCTTTGAGGTCACTTCCATCCCAAACTATTCTCTGTGGAAGCAGATAACAAACCGTAGAATAACTTAAGTTGAAAGGTTCACTTGTGGGTTATCTGGTCCTCCCCTCCCTCCAAGTGGGGCCAGCTTCAGAGTACCAAAGGCCAGGGACTTCCTCATTCTGTTTGCTGCAAGACAAATCTTGTTTCACTTCCCTGTAACCAGAGCAGGGTTTGCTGCTTTAAAAGAAAGGAGATTTAGTTCTTGGGAACATCTTCCTGAATTCCTGGGATGATGTGGTTTGATGCTGTTCCTTCAGGCAGTCTTCTCTGGTGCTGCTGTCACTCACCTTTTGCATGGAAAGTCCCATCTTTCCAGTGTTGCAGATTGTTATATGAAACTAAAGAGCACTGTCAGCAAGATTGTTCTGTGCCCACTGGGCTGACCGGGGAACTCCCTTGCTGAAAAATCCCCTATGGATTTTTTTTTTTGTCCCAAAATACAATTCCTGTGGTTAGTTCTAGTCCTGGGCATTTCCTGATGTTGCTTATTGTGAAATCAGTAGATGGCATGAACCGAGTGGTGATCCAGTCTGATTCTGGGCAGAAATGCCAAGTGGTTTGCAGTGAGTTTGGCTTTTAAGAGACTTTCTGGGAAAACTATTGCCCTTGTGCTTGAGAGTTCATCCTGATGGCCCTGTGGAGGATGGAAATTCTTGCTTTGGAGAAGGGTGGTTGTGCTCTGAAGTGTTAGATTGCAAGTCTTCACAGTGCTGCTGTATCTGAGTGATTGTGGTTAACTATACCTGCCGTGCTCCATCTGCTAGGCAGCTCAGTTTCTTCCCCCTTGCTACACAGAGGGAAGAGAGCGGCCACATTAGTTTGTGCAAAAAACAGGAGCTAGAGCTGGGATTGCTGGCATCCTGCTCTTGGCTTTAGTACTATTTGAAGGAACTTGGGTGATAACAGCATTGTGAAGAGGATTTTGAAGATTGGGGAGAGACCAGGAGAGAAGGGAAGAAAGTAATTAAAGGTTTAAAATGGAGCCAAAGACTCGCTTTTGGTGCTTTCAGTGACCTTGGGGGTTAAAGCTCTTTGTGTTTCGCTGTGTGCAAAAGGGGAAATCGCACCAGGTCAGCTTCAAAACAGCTATTAGCCCGAGGGAGGAGAACTGATGTGGGAGTTAGTGTCTCGCTTGATGCCCTTGACGCAGGAGGAGGAGTGGAGGTGTACCAAAAGTCAGGGAACAGGTTGCAAACAAGCTAAGGAGACCATACATCTCTCAGCCTTTCCTTAAATCCTGGAGCTGCCTGTGAAGGGATTAAAGGCAGGGAAGAGAGATGTCCCTGTGGAGCTCAGAAGTAGAGGAACTCTTGTGTCTGTGAGAGGTGGGAAAAAGTGTCCTGGAAGGAAATGTAGGGGAGTAAGTGGGGGCAGGGGGAGGCTAACTAGTGTGTGATTAAGCTGACATTAGTGGGATGGCCAGCAGCAGCAGCATCAGGCAGCCTCTTCATCTGGTCCTCAGGCACGTGAGGGTGATCAACTCTTGAAACACATACTGGGAAGCTTGCTGCCTGTGACCTGGCTAGCATCTCCCAAAATAGTCAACTCGCAGTGAGTAACTTCCTTTGCGCTGTTCCCAGCTCTCCCTGGCACGTAAATCCTGTCCCCTAGTTCCTCCTGCCTTCCTGTTTGGAGAGGGAAGGGTTGCTGGGAGAGGCCTTCCAAGGGTCCTTGAGCTGTTGGGTTTCAGCTGGGAAAGTCTGCTGCTGGGCTGGGCGGGAGGTGTAATGTCAGGGTTACATCCTCTGTCCCTGCTCCTGTGTGTGAGCTCCCAGCCTTCACCTGTGCTGTTTGTGAAGAGGAATATGCTGCTGTTCCTCAGGCATTGCTGGTCTTCACTTCCTTTTCACAGATGCCTGAACGGCTGTAGATTAGGCTGCTCCTCTGAAATGTGTTCCCAGTGGGAAAGGGAGCCAGGAATTATCCTTACTGCCAGGAGTGCACTTTCCCACACAGCCTGATCCTGGGGCAGGGACTTGCTGAGTTGTTTTTGAGGCCCTTTCTGGATCTGAAGACAAAAGCAGAAGCAGCTTCTGTCCTTCCTGCAGTTATTTGAGGAGAACTCAGAGGAGCTCTGATGAGGAATTTGAATCCTTTAGGTCTTACTCTTCCGTCCCTGCTCCTGAAGGTCTTGTTTTTGTTGGAAGTAGACTCCACAGGCTTCCTCGTGCAACATAGCTCACAGCAGACCCGACAGGTTTCTGCTGGCCCTTGCCCTACCCTGGTGTTTTCAGCTGCGTAGATGCAGGAATACTGTCCAGCAAAACTTGCTTTGCGGCTAGTGCAGGAGACTAGCTGCCTTACACAGCAAGGAGGGGGCTCCTAGGGAAGGATAATGCTGGAGAGGGACTGAAGTACTGAGAGATATGGTTTAGTGGCAGACACATACGGTTGGACTGGATGATCTCTAAGGTCTTTTCCAACCTAGTGATTCTATGATTCTACGTCTTGAATCTACACGCAGACAAGCTGTAATCTCTCTTCCTCTGGGAACTCTTCAAGCAGATAGTGTGAAGTTTAGCACCACAGTTCTCCCTTGATGTTTAAAGGGAGGAGGCACCCCATGCTTCCTTGCTTCCATGGATGGATCTCTACTCAGCTCCACAGGTAAGCCAGTACAAAGCTGGTAGGATCCATGTCCTGCCTGCTGCTGACTCTGCAGCACCCTCTGGTGTTGTTGAATCTGTCCCTTAGCTGCTCTTGTTTTCTCCTTTCTGTCTGTCTCCTGACCAAGGAAGCTGTGAGGAACCACGTGGGGTCTCCCACAGTGAAATGCTCATATATTCAGCAACTGAATATCAACTAGGGGCTGACTTAAGTAGGCCATGGACTAAACCTGGTGTAATTCCTCTTCAAGTGTTCCCCTCCTTCACTTCCATGCTCGTGCGTGGGCTGAAACCTTCCTTTTCACAGTCTCTACCTGGAATGATTCCTGAATTATTTTTTTAGTGTAGCTGTGGCTGGATTAAGAAGCCCTGTCTGCCTCTTTCTGTAGCTTGTTCTCCTTCCATGATCAGAAAGTTCAAGAACTCTGACCCATCCTGACAGTTATTTTGGAGAGGATGCTCAGGCTTGAAGAGAATTCTCCTTCCTCCTTTTCTTGTCTCACTAGCCAGGACTCTGCTGGTGACATGGGGACGTGTGCTGGATTCAGTCAGGAGAGAGTTAACTCTCTGTACTGTGGCTGCTGTGAAGCTGTTCCTGGATGCAGAGAGCAGCACTGATCAGTTCTCAGCAGGCGCTGGGCAATGCCTGCACCAGAGTCAAGGCCTTTCTCTGCTCCTGACCCTGCAGCTGCGTTCCCAGCTCTCGTGTTCTCGCTACGGGCAGTGCAGGGGACACACAGCTCAGGCACCTGACCCCAACTGACCGAGGGGGTATTGCATTCCAGAGTCCGTCATGCTGGGGGCAGAGGTGAGGAGGGGGGTCGGGAGCCATTACTCTCTCCCTTTACTCCCTCTCGTTCGCTCCCGCACACTTACTAACCCTCTGCTGACTCCTGCGTTAGCTGCTTTGCTCACTCCTGCGCTGGCTTGTTCAGGGGGGGGTTGGTGGGTTTGTTTAGTTTTCCCGCTCGTGCTATCGCTGAGAGGGTTCACTCGGAATTTGCTGTGACAGCGCTCAGGCTCCGGCTCTCTGCCTGCAGCTCTCAGGCTCTCTGGGTCTGACTCCCACTACTCAACACCTGTTGTGCATTGGTCAGTGGGCAGTGAGGAATTGTATCATATTGTAGCATATGTTTTATTTTGTTATTTTAATTATTTATTAGTCGTAGTATCTGTATATATTGGATTTAATTAGTAAATAGTTCTTATCTCAATTTTATGAGCTTCCTTATTTCTTTTTCCTCCAATTTGTCCCCTCCACTGGAGGAGGGGAGGGGGATTTGTGAGAGCGGCTTCCTGGTATTTTGCTAGCTGGAGTTAAACCACGACAGGAGGACACAGTTGTTTTCTTCTTTCCCTTGCGGTGCTGGCAAAACAGGGACATTTGATGCATGAGCAGCGCCTTGAGCTGTCCTTATTTACAGCAAAGGATGAAACGGAACTGGTAGCTCTCTGTAGCTGCGCTGCTGAAAAATCTAAAAGGGATTTCACAAAAAAAAAAATCAAGAAAAACATCAATTTTAAATACTCTGCTCTAAGATTTTTAGCTAATGCCTGGCTCTGCTACTTAATTCTTCCCTTGTTTGTTGTTTACCACTGAAACACCCTGCTCAGATGCAGATGAGGTCATCTCAGTAGTCAGTTTTTGGGTGTTGCTGCATATGTCCTCTCACACCGCACGTCTCCAGCGAACCATTGTTCTGCCTGCATCACCAGCATTCACGTTCATTCTGTGCCTAAGCTCCTGACTTGAGCTTGGCACACGCTCCCGTTGCCATGTTGCTGACCCAAATTCCGGCTGCGTTAGGAGAGAGCCTTCCTTGCCAGCTTGCAGACCCCTCGGGCTCCGACGGCTGCCATCAACAGTGGTTTCTGAACTTGTGAAAAACCGAGGGCTGCTTTGGTTCTGCCTGCAAGTGGGTGTTAGGAACCTGCCTCCGTGTGTGCACCGCAGTTAAATTGCGGAGGTAACTCTTGTATGTTGGTTTTAAACTACTCCCTGTGTGAAGACATTAGCGAGGTACCTGACTGTGATGTGGATCTGGAGATGGGAAGGGAACCCTCAACCAAAATATGGGTTCCACGATCAGAACCTTTTGTTGAGGTGGGGGAGAGCGGCACAGCTCTAACTGTAGCTGCTGTGGATGCTTGTCTGGCTCTGTGCTAAGCTTTTTCTGAAACTATAGGGATAGAGGTCCAATATATAATAGCCAGATGGGTATGTCTGTGTGGGTGAGAACCTGGATTTGTTGAAACTAGTGGCAAGATTGTACTTGTAAGCAGAGTTGGGATTTCTTCCTCTTTGTCTTCCTCATCGTGATCTGACGCTATCCTGCTCTTCTGTTCTTGTTTTTTGCAGAACATCCAGAAGATGCTCGGTCTTGCTCCTTCCCGGGCTGCCACCAAGCAAGCAGGGGGCTTCCTTGGCCCCCCACCTCAGGCAGGAAAGTTCTCCTAAAGCACAGTTAGAGCCTTCACTGGAAGGTCTGAGCAGTGCACAAGACTGCCTTTGAGAGGTAACAAGATGGGATTCTGCACCGGGCTTCACACGTCCAAACCCAGCCTATGCAGTATTGGCCACGGTCTTGGAAACATCTTCCATTTGGAGTATTCTACCAGCAGTTGTTTGCTCATCGAACCAAGGAAGTTCTCAGAAGATAATGTGACCTTTTTCTGCTGTTTCTGAGAAATAAATGGCATGTTTATTTAGATGTCTCTTCATTATGCTGTAGGACAAGTTGAAATATGTTGATGTAGCGCAGTTGGCTTAGTTTATGGCATGGAAATCAACTCCGACAGCAAGGGTGAGATCCACAAAGTACACAAGTGGGAGAATTTGGAACGACTGTGTTGTGAAGTGACTCTTGTCTCAGCCCGACTGGCTACAGCCCTGTGGAGCAGGGAGCTGGGCAAGGGGGTGCGCTTAGTTCTCCCTTCGCAAAGTGTCCAGCGTGGAGGGTGAGGTTTTTCTTTGCCTCTGGTGACTGCAGGCACTGGAATGTGCCAGGCTGCCCTTGGAGGTTGGAAGTGTTTCTGAATGTACTGTCTGCCTGTCTTCCTGGCAGAATACAGCCCTGCAGAGACTTCTTTTTTTTGTGGCATTATACAGCTTCTGTAAAACTGCTTGCTTAGGCAGAATCTGCTCGGCTGCAGAAACAAACCTGCCCTCCCCACTTGAGCCAACAATGAAACTATGCCACTGCTGCTGATCCCCTAACCCTTACTGCCCGAGTGGTTATGGCAGCAGCACTTTTGTTCATGCTCCTTGGCTAAACAGCCTCATCGGCTTCCTGAGGCCAGGAAGCTCCCTGTGCTGTCTGCTGCTTTGCCAAATAGTTCTGTTTCAGCCTTGTTGGCTGGAGTCTGCTCACCTTGTTGAAAAGGGGTGAATAAATCTTGCTGCCGCTCTCACGTTAGGCTGACAGTTTTCCTCAAGAAGGCAGTACCCAGTGGGGCTGTTGATTTTTGTGCTTCGTGACCAGAGGTTTATCCTGCTGGGATAACTTACCAGGAGTTTTTGGCTAGATGTGTGACAAGGGGATAAATCCGTAACACCTGACGGCAGTGTGAAGCAAGTGTGGTACCATATTAAATACTAAATATTGGATTACCCCGTTCTTACTGCGCAGAATTAGTTCGATGGGATTATTTAAAGATAAATCATGAGTGTGCAACCTCTGTGGAATCAAAAAGGAGGGTTTGGCAGGTAAAGGAAAGCATTAAGCCTTTACTGA